TATTGATATACAGAATATATATTTAAGGTACCATAGCCCATCTTATGTATGTATATGATGTTTATTGTATCGCTATGAATGGTCAGATGAATGTACCGCAGCTTATTTTCTGTATATGTATGATGTTTAATGTGTTGCTATAAATAACGAGATTAATATATCTTGACCAATTTTCTGTATTTATATGATGTTTAATGTATCACTAGAAACGATAAGATTAATTTGCCATAAACCATTTTCTGTATCTGTATGATGTTTAGCCTATCGCTATTCACGATAAGATGAATGTACCACAGCATATTTTCTGTATCTGTATGATGTTTAATCTATTGATATACAGAATATATATTTAAGGTACCATAGCCCATCTTATGTATGTATATGATGTTTAGCCTATCGCTATTCATGATAAGATGAATGTACCACAGCATATTTTCTGTATCTAGATCTGAACCCATTTTTAAACTTTCTTGTTATCAGAAGAACTCCCATCATATTATATGTTCTGGAGAGTTTAACAATCTCAGAATAGTTCTTGAAGACTGCTATCTACTGTCCATTCCAATCATCTAGAAAGTTGTCTATATATTTTGTTGTCTATCTATTGATGCGTTCTCATGAGGCATATAATAAAAGTTTACGCTTGATTCACTAGCTGTCACCTCAATTTTTTCTTCTCTAAAAAGCCGCATTGCCACTTCATTGGAAGAGACATCAGAGACAACAATTTTATAGGTTTGCAAACGTTGGTTTCACAATAATTTTCCAAACGAAATAAAAAACACTATGAAACAAAAACAGGCTTTAACAGAAATGATTACCCTAGAGTCATATTTTATTATTTAATAACTCCTCTATGTTTGCAGTAATGTATAGAAGTTTATTAAATTATATTCTTGTATTCATTAAGAATGTTACTATTAAAAATAAAATATCGTTTACACCATAGAAGAATTGTTTCTCATTAGTATTACAAATAAAAGACAAGAAAACAAAGATTTTGCGTAGCTTTGGATATACTGTTGATAACAGAGTTTCCTTTTGGTATCAAAGTACTCGTTGATCTTTAAATTACTTTACTCAAAATTAATATTAGTTTCTTTCTTTATTTCGGATATTTGCACAAAATATTTCAAGGGCTATCTGCACAAAGTTTTGAAATGATACACTAAAGTGAAAGCAGCAAGTTTACAGCAATCATCGTAAACTTTTGGACTTTTCTTGTCTGATCGAGTAGTGGGATTTGACCATCACATTTACAAAGTATCAAGGGTGTATTTTGTTGGTAAGGGGACACAAAACCTGAACCCGTAGATTGACAGTTCGAGTCTAATCAGTAGGCCATACTTGATTCTTGAAAATCAATTTGAATAAAGAATTAAAAGTTAAAACGTTTCAGTCACCAAGCGATTGTGTTTTAAGTAAAATAACTTTAAAATTGTCAGTTTCGTAATTGTGCCTTATAACAGTGCAATCGATGTAAAGTAAGAAATCAGCCATTGACTGCGAGATTGAATATTACTGAAACGTGGCCACGACTTGACCAATCCAATGAACATTAAATGCAATAAAATAAAATGAAAATTTATTAAAAAAAAACAAAGAGAAACAGCATTAGAATAAGTACTTAATCATAACAACTATCACATATTTATGAAATAACATATCTTTTTATACAGTGTGAACATGTATCGTTTTTTTGGTTTTCTCCTAATGTGCATTTTTAAGTCATCTCATTTAGTTACAATTCCACTCAAAAGTAAGTTTTCAAAGTTTCCAGGCTAAAAATGTTAATCAAAGCGGATTTCAAATTACACCGTCCCTCCGGCGCTTTAATAATATAGATAGCAGGAGAATGACTTGAAAATAACAGTTTTATTGTACTGTAGACCATTTCTAACAGCGAATTAAGTATGACTGAACAGAAACCATTATCGACTGTTTGATTTATATCAGATGCGCTTCACAACGACTTTAACCATAAAAAATACTAAAAATAACAAAGCTTACTTGAGAAATTTCAAAGTTATAACTTTATATATATCTATATATTTGCATGTATAAATAGAATAACTTACATGATATATATATATATATATGTGTATATGTGTGTGTGTATAATAGAATAATTTGAAAACTGGAAAGCTTTACCTTACAGTTTATACTATATTGCTTAAATGATTTCAGATGTTAAGTATTATGAAAGGAAAAATATTTGAAAACTTAAAGGTTTAAATATTCATATATAATAAAAACTATTACAACGGAAAATAACATCAGTTGTGAAATTGCCAGTAAAATAAAATTATGAAGAACGTTATTTGAAGACATAAGTACTATAATTTATTTATAATGTTTGTGAGACTAACGGTGAATGAAGTGATAAAATTGATGAAATTTTGATGAAAATTGGGAATGAACTGAATCCTGTCGTTGTAATCATGATATAAGAGACATAAAACCTATAGACATAATACAGTTTGGCTATTTGTTAAGTTTTTGTAGGTTTACAGAATCTCCTAATATGCACAAAACAAGAAAATAGTTACATTTGAATAATTACATATACTCCTACCTATAGTATACAGTACCTTTGTATTGCTCAGACTTTCCTGGCTTAGTAATGTTTTGTTGTTTTTACTATTAGAAGCTGGAAATACTTTCTCGAAACTGAAACTCAGAATTAATAACCTGTCAATAGTTCTGATAAAACAACATAAACTATTATCATTATTACATGCAATAATTTAGATTCATTGTGAAATGATATTAAAATGTAATTTTATCTTTTCTTTTTTCTTTACATATTTTTTTGAAAGAAAAAATTACTCACTACTTTGGTGAGAATACCATAGCTTACAACCTTGTTGTGGCAAAATTTTATTCTTATGGTATCCCTAGGCCTTTGATGTGTAAAGTTATATTGAAAGTTACCACTTCAATTAACATTAAACATAATAAAATGCTTGCACTTGAAGCATACTTTCCTTTTTATATAATTTATCGTGAACAGAAAGAGACTATAAAAATATAGATAATAATTCTGGTATTTTAATAGCATTAATAAACGAATATATATATCACACTAGTAACATAACTAAACTATTACTGAAATATCTATTAATTTGTATTTATAGATTAATTTACAGTCACATTCATGCGATATGAATGACTTTCAAGCATTGGCATAACTGTTTTCGTTTAGGAAAAAATATATATGCTGGGATAAAATAAAATGTAAACTTCCTATATTTCATATTGAACCTGTATTAATTATTGTAAATCGCGTTTTAAAACATGTTTCATAGTTTGCTTTAATATTTTTCTGCAACTATATTAAAGGAATATTAAGTAGTAGTCATTTATTTTCCACATTAATACGACTATCCTTAAAATTATATCTACAAGTTAAACGTACTATCAGTTATAACTTAAAGTTGACGACATTTTAAATCTAGGAAACAACAAATATCAGACAGTAAATACTTCAAGAAGAAAGAAGTATTTGTTAATTTTTCTAATATTTTTAAGGTAATAAAACTCACACACGTTTATTTGCGTATTTACATTTCCAGTTAAGTGTGGTCACGCAAGGACAAGAAGACATTTGACTACAACTCTGTAAAATACGCGGCTTTCTTATAATCAATATAACTTATATTTTTGTGTTACATATACTGTACAAAAAAATCTGCTCCAGGCCTTCGATATGAAATATCTTGAAGTATAGAACTTAGCCGAACAAAGAAAAATATATATAAATATCTTATCCCAGGTTTTCGACAATACTTGAGCCATGGAGTGAGATCTGAAATAAGCATTGATAAGAAAGAGTGTGAACCTTAAATAAAATTTAATATATTTACTCCCACTTTACATAACCGTTAGAAAGTGAAATGATGTTTATAATGTAAGTATATTTACTTTTGATAGTATAAAAGTAATTGGATACCAAACTGTGAATCCCTAACACATCTTAAAGCAGTATGTTCAAACATAGCGATAATAATAAGAGCGATGAAAAAAAAGTTTACGGACGTAAAAGTTAATAAGATAATTTTAACAATAACTGCTACATTAAAATCGATACTTAAAAACAATACTCTACATCTATTAGAAAACAATACTCTACATCTATTAGAAAACAATACTTTACATATATTAGAAAACAATACTCTACATCTATTAGAAAACAATACTCTACATATATTAGAAAACAATACTCTACATCTATTAGAAAACAATACTCTACATCTATTAGAAAACAATACTCTACATCTATTAGAAAACAATACTCTACATCTATTAGAAAACAATAATCTACATATATTAGAAAACAATACTCTACATCATTAGAAAACAATACTCTGCATTTATTATTAATGAACTATATCTTACACATGACTTCAGGTAAAGTTCAACTACTGTTTGAGAACCAATCCTTGAACCTAGCGATCAGAAGGTTATATTAGCAAAAATATCATTCACTTATTTTGTGCATGTGTCTACTCACTGACTTCTTCTATGTCATAAATATTGCAAACATTTCTCTGGCTTACATCGTATGTCCTCAAATAAATCTGATTAAAGGAAGAAGTTTCTAGTCAAGGCTTATTTAATAAAATATAAATTGTTTTCGAGATACGAGCAAAACTAAGTTGAAAAGGTGTACGCGAGTGTGTTAAAAGTCTAAACGAATAAAAATTGATCCTAGGTGTTTTGGCTTACTAAAGTGATAATGAAGCACATAGAAACAATTTTCATACATTTCGACATTTGTTTTCACTTTCTAAGCGTTGTTTCTATTTATATCTCATAACTTTCCAAAGGAAGTTTATAAAATTTTGAGATTTCAGGATTCGTATTTGTTTCATAAACTGGTCGTTGTCAGTAACTTTCACAAGGAAACCTTCTACATTTGTACATGCATAAAACGTATAAAAGGAACTTAGCTTTGAGAATAATATCCCTATTCTGACACTTAATTTGTTTTATTTCAGGTATCTTGGATCCGAAGGAAAGATTTCCACGTACTTACCGTAGGAACAGACAAATACATCAGCGATGACCGTTTCCAAACCGTCCGTACAGGTAATGATAATGATTGGGTTTTGCAGATAAAGTTCACTCAGTTAAAGGACCAAGGGATCTATGAATGTCAAGTGAGCACCGACCCGAAAATCAGTGTTTTCGTAAACTTGTCAGTTCTGGGTAAGTATTTGATACTTTGGAGTATCTGTAGCAATATTGGATCATAAATACAGAGCACGAAATGTATACACATTACACTAGATAATCTCGATCAAATGTGAAGTAGATATAACCTTTATGGGCTGCGCATGGCTTAGTGGTTATCACATCAGTCTACGGAGAGTAAGGTCCATGGTTCACACCACGATGCCGCTGAACACACTCCATACTTTAAGTTGTAGGGCGTTATAAGAGTGACAGGCAATCGTGTTATTGGTTCAAAATGAGACAAAGCCCTTGTGGCAGAGAGTGCAGTAACTGGGTACTTTACCTATCTTAATGTTAAAATAAACTATGAAACGGCTTTACCTGAACTCTAGGGTTCTCTTGCCAGGTCGTTTATTTGACCCGTGTGCCATATAATATGCCCTTCACACAAATACAACACACGAGAAACGCCAACAGTATATGTATATATTAAAAAGAAAATTTGTTGTTAGTGAAGAAATGCATCTCTTCCAAACAAATAAGTTAAGTTTTAGTATTTACTCAGCGATATTTGTAACTTTATGTTATATTAGACACAAATAAATAATTATTAAACTTCTTTACCATGAGTTTTATATTTCTCCCACTGTAGGTTTATTCATTCTACTGCCAACAGGTGCAAAAAAAAGTAAAATGTGAAATATACTTAGTAGAACATTTAAAATATTGTGTTTAATACAATTATGATACTGGATGATTATGGACTATACATGTATATTTGAATATATTATATGTGTTATAACGATCACACAATGAAGAATAAATGTTTATTTAATATGCTACTTTATGATGATGTGTTCATTTAACATGTTTAACGTCGATCTACAAACAAATACACTTTTTGGTTCCCAATGTAGCATTCCACTACAGCAGTGGTTCCCAAACTCTTTTAGTCTGAGACTCCCTTGATGTTAATAAAAATGTTTGAGGCCCTCAACCTATAACTTTAGCATGGTGATTGAAATCAATGCTGTAGTAAATACAATAGCATCTTCTTTTGACATACTGTATCACTTAATTAATTCAACATAATTTTATTGGCCTACTGTTTATTTAGAATTAAAATTAATTAGGCATCTTTGTTTTCGGCCCATTTTTGGCGGCCCCCCAGAAACGTTTCACGGCCCCCACCGCGGCTCCCACTTTGGGAAACACTGCACTACAGCATGAGAACGTTTACTTAAGTAAAACTAGAAATTAATGTGCAATGGAAATGCTACTTTGCCATATTTTTCTTCATTCATTTTTATGTTGTAATATGTTTTATGTACTATCTCATTGTAAAATCATATGTCTATTTGAGGTTAGGTTCACAAGAATTTCATAAGACACAGTAAGGATTTTGTAAGACAAGCTCTTATTTCAGCTAAGGTTTACCAAGAATAAGCTAACCTTTCCAACGAAAGTATATGATAACAATAATGCATTGTTATCATTCTTTAAAATCCCCAAATGAACATGTTTAAGACAAACCTGTGTGACTCTTCTATGTTGTTCTGTATAACATCGGAATGATAATGAATATAACATATGGTAGTGTTAAAAACGAGAAAATGTTTCATTTTTTATTGTTAAAAGTTAATACTTATGGTGTCACAAACTGACAACACTGATATTAAAATGTACACTATATCTTTCATATAGAGCCTTTTCGTAAGCAAACCTGGTTTCAAAGTGGAAACAAAACGACAATTTCTCTCTTTGTCAGTGTAATTGAAATTCACTTAATTATTTCTTCACTGAGAATATCCCGTGCATGAATATCCAATCACTAGTGTAGAGATCTAAAGTTACCATGGCTTGTTTGCAAAACAAGGAGTAAAAGCAAAAATCTCTCTGGCTTTCATAGGGAATAATAGTGAGTGCCCGTCTAGCAGAGACACCGTTAACAACGACCATTTCTCTGTACTGGTTGTTCAAAGGCTTCTGTCATCAGAGTCGATCAGCAGTAGAAATGGAAGAATAATATATCTGACACGAGGAAGAACTGAGTTGACTAACTGATGTTGATGATTGATCTATAAAAATTATATCTTCACAATACCATACTTAAGTAGAACATCACACAGTCTGTGATATAGTAGGTCACAATCAATCCAAAAACGTTATGTCTAAAATAAAAACAGGAAAACCTAGGTTCATTTGTATTTAAACAAAGCTAAGGTAATGAATGAATAAAAGCAGGCTATGTGTTCTGAGTAGTTGATCGACACTATTTCCTGTACTATTAACATAACAAAAATATAAAGACAATTACACAAGGAGCTTCACCTTGCTCCTGGTATTCCAACCGTGTAAGCTGTTGAAGGTATCCTAATGATCTGTGTAATATTATTGTGTTTGAATTTGGATCCTAAAATTCCCTTAGAAGAACGAATAACATCCAGAATGGATCGAACGTTTTTTGTCAATCTAGTGCATCCCACAGTGTTATATCTTCATCGTGATAAATATAAGCTTTTGTACGACGGACGATAATGCAACAATCCATCGCCCTCCTATTGTCCCCAATTAGACATGACCTAGTGGTTAGCATGCTGGACTTCTCAAACTTGAGCTTTTATGAAATATTATTTATACGAGGGTCTCTTATTCAGAATTTTAAGATATTTTGTTTTATACATCGCAATAATCTTATACAACGGGAATTTTTTAAAGTAATTTGCTTCATTGTATTTAATCGTGAAACTTTGGTCATTATTCATCTAGTTCATTACATAATTTAAAATATTTTATAAATAATCAATGGCTTAGTCTTAGGGGCGTCAGTTTTTATACATGGACATAATGTGTCTCCATCATTACTGGCCCTTGACGATTTGCAGGAGTTCGGTCTAAGCCCTATGGAGCAGATGACATGAATTCGCTCATGTTTCATGTACATGGAAGCTATAGAAAAAAAAAAGATTCATGATTTTTATCGTCTATCACAAATTATTTTATTCTAGTTCTATCTTTAAATTATTTTAGACCATATCTGGTTCCCGGAAAGATGATAAAAGTAATTTTATATTCGTTTCATAGTCGTAATGAATGTTAGAGTACAAATATTAGAGGGCATCCTTTTCAATTTCGAGGTTTAAAGTGCTTTAACTTAAAGAAAGAGTAATAAATTTAGAGTAAATTAATTTGAGGAAATTTAAAGTTTGCTTTCAAATTTTTCATCAATTTCTTTTATTTACTTTACTACGAATTTTCAGCTAAGAATTAATTACATTAGAATTTCAAGATTATTTTTCTCTGTCACAGTTTACTGCTCAAATAATTTTTTAGTTTAATGTCTGAACTCATTAGCTAAAGGCCCCCCAGTGGCACAGCGGTATGTCTGCGGACTTACAACACTAGAAATCGAGTTTCGATACCCGTGGTGGGCAGAGCACAGATAGCCCATTGTGCAGCTTTGTGCTTAACTTCAAACAAACAAACATTAGCTAAAGAAACCTACAAATGTAGAATTCTCTATCCGATTTTCTACTTTACTATAGTCCTAAGAAGCCAAATAAATATTTAATCACATTTAGGGATCCTAAATCGGATATTTCTTATAACTTGAAATCAATTTAGTTGGACTTAGTTTGATTTTGATTACTAGACAATGCAACAGTGATACAATAAAATCTAGTTTTAAATATTTACCTTCTTTACGAATTGAATTAAACTAACTGTTTGAAAACTAATTTGCTTTTCTTAAACATTATATCTAGTCCAGTTATCTAAGTACCATTTCTGGATTTTATAGAATTTACAATTGCTTTTAATACTTATAAGAATTTTTCAGTGGTACGGTGAAAGCACGATTACTATTCTCTACCATCAACAACTTAAGAATATAGTTGTGAAGCCTATCACTTAAGCTAGAAGTATCATATATATAGAAAAAAAAGAACCGGCTTATTTCTGATTTTTATTTGATATCATTATATAAAGCTTATTCTTTTGGTGACATCCGGAGATCATCTGTAAAAGTTTCTATCTTATCTGACCAGAAAATTCTTGGATTTCAATTGTTATTCGTTGAACATATTCAAACTTGGACAGTCCAATAGCACTTTGGACAGTCCAATAGCACTGAAGAAGTCTTGCGGTTAATAGTTTCCCTCTCTTTAGAAAGGTTAGTTTGAAAACAAGTCTAGAACATAGGCGCGAGTGTTGAAATATACATAATATTGAACAATGGTTTATCCACTTCATGCAAAATAGGGCTATTCTTTATTTCAGGGCAAACTGTATTTTCTTTAAAATATTATAAATTAATGATAACTTCCGATCAGATAAAGCAATGTACCTAGAGCGAAAGGAAAACTCAGCATGGCCATCAGTACAGCTAATTAAAATACGTTTATGATTAAAATATGTATATATTTAAATATATTAAAACGAATTGTTTCATCAAGTGGGTACCCTTGCTGTTAACGATATTCTCGGTCAAAAACCCCATAACATATCACAAGATTCGGCCAGCTTAGCAGATTTTAGACTAGTCCTAAATACAAATTTTAAGCTACCAATGTAAAACCAATCTTTATAATACAAGTTTGTAATAAAAACAAGTTAAAATTGTTTGATATTTATTATGCAATAGCTTGCATATAGATACATAGAACTGAACACATGAAACTTTCACTTTAATGTGCAAAGTGTAAATTTCTGAAAGTTGCCTTGTGAACAAAAACACTTAATTGCCTGAAAATGCGTTTTGCTTAGATAGATTCATTTCAAAATTCATCTATCGTTTTAAACTCCTCATGTTGAGATATTGTATATACAAACAGGGCATTTTACACCATGAGATACAAAACAATGCTTGAAATATAATACTATTGGAAATATTCAGTAAAATAAATGTTTTCAATGGAAACTTTGTCAGGTACAAATATATATATATATTATAAAAAATATTAACAATATTAATAGTCGTCCTTTTTGTAGAAACTGTATTTAAATCATTTGTCGTAAGACACTCTAGAGATGTG